GGGGTTGTGGGGTACAAAGTGAAACCCGAGAATCGACTTCATACCCCGTCAATGCTATCTTCAAGGTACACTTATGTCGTACCAAAATACTATGGGCTATGGCCAGGCGCCTGCTGGACGTGCGGTAGCGCAAGGCTGTGTATGGAGTTCGGAGTAACGTACCACTCATCCCCATTACCGTGCTCTCTTGAGCCGAGAAAAAGGCACGCTACTGCAGACGCGCACCCATTCTTCCGTATGCGGTAAGGACCACAATCCATGGAGGTGAGTGTGCAGTTTGTCTCTAACGCTGTTACTGAAAAAAAGTCTCACGGGTCCTCCTGGTTCCTTTAGTGGACTCACAAGTAGTGAATAGCATGTTCATTTTGTAGTTATAGCATTATCGGCTCTGATTCAGAGATCCGTCTGAACAGTCGGTTTTGGCGGCATTGGTGGAGAGTCCGGCAGTTTTAATGGTAGCCACAGTTGACCACATAAACGCTTCTCTTCTGCATACAAGTGTGAGTCTAATAAATAATTGTTTAGTCAAGGAAATGTTGAGTTAGTTGTTATGTTTACAAAGTTAATTATTGTTATTTTAGCACCAGTTGCAGTCATTCAATTGGATATACTACCGTGCGGACACCTTTATATTTTCGTGGCAAGAGATACTTGCGGGACAATCCACGTTGCTTGGACTCAATCCGAAAAGTAACCAGTCGGTTAGTGCCCTCTCCCCTCCCCCTCCCCTCCAAACTCTTTTCTTTTGCTGTTTGTCTGGACGACCAATATTCTCTTTGCTATCATTCTCTTCTGTCATCACTCTCTTTGCTTTACTTTCCACTAATTTTTCAGGCCCATTCGCTGTCTTCCCTTGATGTTTTATGGCAGTCATTGGCCGCAAACTCGCGTTCCATCCTTCGAATATTTTATGCGATGTTCTATAATAGCAAGGAGCCTGTCGCTTTCTGGGATCTTTTCAGTGCTGCTAAGTGGGTATTCGCTTCTTCAATGAATCTTGTAGTGTGGAAGAGATTACCTATAAATTGCCAACTTTGCACTTATTTTCAGGGACGAGTTCCTTGTGTCATCGGATACTGCCCTCCGTCAGCAGTTAGTGGAGTTCAGCGATCACCGCATTCTCAGGTGAGTTCGTGAATGTTTAACTTGTCAGCCACCGTTCGAAATAATTAGTCTTACTGAGTGAAAAGCTCCGAATAAGAGCGCGAAATCACATCGGGCAGGAATCCCTGCGTGAATACCGTGAGGCTCAGCTGCAATTCGGCTTTCATCATCCTATTTGTTCCGGTTGATCATCGAGTTGTCGAGCGGGCTCCAGTAACGTCCTCATTCGTCTCTGGCAACGTGTCTAGAAGCTGCCCAGTATGGGTTCTATTGCTTCGAGGAGCACGATGAACCTTCATACATTCGTCGAGTCGTGAAAAAGATCTGACCATGGTGTGTAGGCGTCTCGTGAAGTTTCGTTCGAGCATGCTGTCGAAATGTCCATCATTGGTGTGTCATGACGTGCGCCGGCCCACCTTCATCTTAGAACGTTGAACAATATGCGGATGTCTCAAGGCTTCTTCGTATTGTCGATCGATGCGGATGCTCCGTTATTTTCTCTCGCGTGTAAGTGGGAAGACGTCGAAGCATCGCCCAGTTTTGATGCTTTGAGAGAAGTTAATGAATGCATCTCATGGTCTGCTTCATAGAGTCGCATAGGTCTCTGAGGCGGTTGAATCAAAAGCAATATATGGACGGTGGAGTGTCGAAGAGTGGGCGCGTTAGCTTGGTGTTCTTCGCCTTCTTCGCTACTCCCTCGATGTTCTTGAAGCTCCCCAAGCCGCTCGCTTCCTCCTGCTCAGCTCTGGTGCTAAGTCGTTCATCAGTTGATTTCCTTACCTATGTACGCATGGCTAGACCATTCAAGATGTTCACTCCGTTGAGCTAGAATCAGGCACCAGAAGCCAGTCCGTTCTCCGAACACCGTCTTCGTCAGATTCAACTGCGAACCGATTTCCCCACACGCGCAGTCGAGAGCAGGCAGTATTCGCTCTGTTTGCTCGCGTTTTCGAACAGGACGATGTCGTCAGCAAAGCGGAGATGATGTAGTTGCCGGCCCTCGATCTTCCCTTCCCCATGCCATTTTATTCCCATCGACCCATGACCTTTTTCAAGCGAGGCGTTGAAGAGTTTGGGGAGATGGTGTCGCCCTGTCGAATCACTCTCTTCACGTCGATGAAGATCTATTCGAATGGTAAGAACGTGGTTGTGAAGTTGCTGCAGAGCTCACGAACAATCCCGATGTATTGTGTAGGAGCACTATGGTTTCCTAGGGTTTCGATAGCTGCTTTCGTATCAACAGATTCGAGAGCGTTCCTCAAGTCAGTGGACGTGAGACCTATACTTCACTGTGCGGATAGTATCGGTACAGTTAAGTACCTTTTGAAATTCTGCTTGCTTGCATCCCATCTTCTCCGCCAGTCCTATTGAGGAGGAGTCATGTGAAGAGGTTCCCGCTGCTCTCTCCCTTGTGTTACTTAGCGTTCTCAAATTCATATTTGAACCTCACTTTTACTCTAAATTTGTCAGATTACCCATTTTCATTTCAGGTGGAAAAGAGGCGAGGATGGCAGCGAGCAACTGGTCGGGTGCTTGGACAGGAATCTTATAGAGAAGTTCTTCAACGAAAAAGGTCTCAACCTAGACTTGTTCTAAACTATTCGCTTGAGATGCTCACTCTTGGCTGTGACTTTACATCCTTTTTCTCTATATTCTCCAAAACTCTCAAATGGTTTTCCTTCTCCTCGCACTTCACTTTGTATTTAACGGAATTCTTGATATTTTGCTCATATGTTGTCAGTGGTCTCATTCGGTTCGCTCTGGAAAACGGCTTTATATTTTTACATTCCTAACCTTTTCTCAAAATCAATTTCGGCGGCGACAGTAGGCCGTCACGACTCCGGTCATCCACGCGTCCCCAAGTCTGAGCTTCCGGAAAGGAAGAGACCACTATATAGGTATTAGAAGGAGCGCGAAGGGTTAGAGTCGCCCGGTCGTCGTACTGTCGAAGCCTGGACCTTTTCATCTACGTTAGCGCCTTCAATCTCGTACTGCCTGATCATTCGAATAGAATTCAAATCACCTCATAGATGGAAGAATGCATTTCACTTGAAACTTGTAACTAGCTCCCATGAAAGTATTGAAAACGATGACAGTGAATAAACTTGAAATGCGTAATTATTTTTTGTATATTATGAAGTTGAAGAGGCGGAGGTGGTGTAATGGCAAGTGGCACGCTTACTACGCGCACGGTCCGAAGGTTAAAAAAGAAAAGAACACTGGATCTGTACATCGGCTAGGCCCCGCAAGTCATTGTAGGCCACATCGCATTCAATAAGCCACTACGATTCTGAATGGAAGTAGAATGCGTGCCGCATCCCAAAAGGGATTGATCAACGGCAGGGACTTTATCCTTCTATCTTTTACGAACTTGTGGTAGGTGATATTAAAATAGCTCGAAAGTTCATTCGGGCGAGTTTTACGCACCGTTGATCTGATAACCGTGTATTAGGGCTGCGGGCAGCAGCCCATTTGTGGGATGTTCATGTTAGTTTGGCATCGCGCGCGCAAACCCAGGTTCCTAACTAATAGTACTTTTGACTCTTGGTCAAATCAACGTAGTCTTTTACTTTTGCGTCACTTCACCAGGGTCACAAAGTGGACTGTATGGGCACCGTAGGGCACCATGCGTTGTCAAAAGGTTATCAAATTCACACCTGGTCTCATATTGATTCTGGTAGGAAGTGAACGGTTAGGGGCTGGGTGAGAGTAAAACTGAGAACAAACATGCGAAGTTGAAAGTTTATTATTTCTCTGAAGCTCAGTTCGAGCCCACTTACTTGCGCCCAAGCAAGCACTACTTGTCAAATGCTACATCTATCGAAATACACTACCGGCCGACCAACTCAGCATGGGAATTCGAGTGCACGGCGTCCCCACCAAAGAAATCAGTGGATAATTAAGAAAGCGTTTGCCATTTGATCAAACGGGAAGATACTGGAGGCTTGCTGAAGGTTTCCAAATGGGTGGTTAAGGATTGTGAACCAAAACTGCGAAGTTCAAAGGATCCCAAATCTTTTCTGAGTCGCTCACCTAAAACCCGGCGCACAGACAGCGTCAAAGGTTTTCTGGACATGGGTAGGGTCCAAAGTATGATCGAGGCAATTACAGAACAACGGGCAAGGTGCTCTACAAGCCTTTTCTATTTCACAGAATCTCTGAGAGTAGTTGTCGTCAAAAGAGTGGGCACCTGAGGAAAAAGTCTGCTTCACCGCAGTGATAGTATCGGCCCCAAAATATAATTCAAGTAATACCGGCGTGGAAGGGCCACACAACCATGAAGGTCCGTAGAGGCCCGTAACTGACATTGCCAGTCCGTCACTCACAGATGCAATATCCCTGATGTAGCAGCCTCACTCTACAGAAACCGAGATTCCAAAAGAGACGTAACCGCTGCAAAAAGATAGGGCGTTTGACAGGAGGCGTGTTCATTGGGCATGCCACGGGATCTTCTCCAACCAGTTGCCAGTGTCAATGATGGCAAAGATCTGCTGCACTCCCGTCCACGCCCCCTAACAAACCTTTCGTCTGAAGGAGTCATGACTGCATACATACGAACAGCGCCCAAGGCAATCGAGACTATTAGAAATGTTTATCTTATATTCTGAACCTTCGGAAGGTTTTCAAAAGCGTAGTAGAGTTCGGAACTCTCGCGTAGGTAAAGTGGTCTTTGAAGGCAGTTGGTCCGATATTTTGGTAATTGGCCTAAAATGCTAGCAGGGTGCCATATAGTGGGAAAATGGCGAAAAAACGAAGTGAAACGGTCAAAAACCTGCGAAGAAAAGCCTTCGCTCTTAATGACACAAACAAAATTCGGACGTAGACATCTTGCCAATAACCGCTACGGTGGGTACGGCTGCATGTATGTACTCATATATCCATGCAGCACCGCACCGCTTCATACCAATCCCTTCGCTTCATATTTTACTTAGCAAATGAAGCAATACGAGCATCAGGTACGGTCGTCCATTTGTGGGCGGGCAGGTGCGGTGGGCGGTGGTATGTTGCAGCTTGATAGGGCCCTTCTAAGGGTGCTCCTCTCAGAAAAGGCGCTACGCAGCACCTGCTTAGGGTCGCGGAATCCCGTCCTGCCAGGCGGTATCAGTCCTACTCTTCTTAGGGATTTATCGTGAAAACCGCCTTTAACGCGAAGGTGAAGTGGTCTTTTAACCCGAAACTAATTCGCTCTCCAGACTAACTCATGACCTGAGCTCGCAATCCTTTGAACTTTCTGGCTCGACATTCCTCTATCATTGGTGTTGCTGATTCTTGTTTTCGCATGATCATCTCAGAAGCAAAAACTCTGGTTGACGGGATCTTGGCACTGTGCCAGCCAGGCGGAAACCTTCAGCTGAGCTAATGAAACCGATCAAATTTCTACGGACCACTTGAGCTCAATCCCGTTAATCGCGTCAGCTCTCTGTTTTTTTCCTGCATGGCATTTTAAGCCGCAGTTCGGATCTCCTGAATCCCCTCACTAGTTGCAGTTAGATGCCAACGTTGTCGAGTGAATTCTTTCTAGTCAAAAGACTCATTCGTCAGGATATTTAATGAACTCACTGCCTTCCCGATAAGAAGTCTGCCATACGAGGCATTTTTCAATGGCAATCATCGGAGCGCACAAATTGCCCGATCTGTTTTTAAATACCTACCCGGGCGCTGCCACATCCGTGATCAAAGTGGTTCCGCGTGGGGGTACCGCTGCACGTTGATTACTTTCTCCTTGGTGGCGCTGACCGCATAATCATATTTCTGGCGTGCGGTCCAAGTCAAACGTCAGAGCAGGAAGAAAGGGTGGAGGTGGAGGAGGAGTCGGTTCTTATCCTTTCCTTTTGCAAAGCTCTTGCATGCATTATATTGTTTTTATGCCAGGCAGCCCTGCTCGTGTGGAAGCTCTTGCATGCCTTTTCTTGACTCCATACAACCACAGCCCTGTTTTTGCTTTGTGCTTTTCCTCATAACGGCTCCTCCGCCAAGATACGCGTGGTTGAAGTATCAGCATGAGTTCTGAATCAAACGTTATCGTGAGCAGGAGGTGACAAGCTCTGCTGCAAATAGAATTTGCCACAGCGCTATTATATTGAATCACTGCTGGAATTGTATCGCTGCAAGATCTCTTCCAAGGTAGTAAGTTCAGCTCAATTGCTAATATAAATCCATGCAAGCATGGCCTTTCAAAATGGTCTCCCAGCACACTGCAACACTCTCCCTCGTTAGTAAGCTAGTTCAAGTTCTGCTCAGTTCACGTCCGTAGTCCGATACGCCTTGTCAGCACCACGACCCGTAACGTCCCATGACACGTCCGAAGTAAGAAAAATCGCGTCCTGACGACACGTCCTTTAGTGCTGGGAGAGTAAAGGCCTCTACCTAAGCCTAGTTCTAGAGGCCCCGAGTGAAAACTTTTGGAAGGAAAAAACCCGGGCTCCCGCATTCCATAAAGAAACGTTCATGCAACCCCATGGAGCGCCGTTTTACGTGTCATGAGACGATGGGCGCCATTACCCATAAATTTAACTTATTGGAAGAGTAAGTTAGTGTGCTACTATTGAATGGCCTTTGATGAAACCAGTTGTATACGTTAACAATTCACAAGGATGAATTGGCCAAGTTAGACGAAACGTATCGTGGGTATGGAATAAAACTAAGAATCACATGCAAAGCTCAATCTCAGTGATATGTTGAACAATGGTGTAGCGGCAACGTGGCCTACGCTTACCAACGTGCACAATCTGGGTGCAGATCCAGGACTGCCCATGCCAATCAAGCTTTTCTTTCCTCCTGTAACGTAAATTGGCAGCAGGTTTGTCCGAGAGGAATAAGAACCGTGCTTGTACATAATCGGCGGCTTGCCCTCAGCACCGCCATTGTGTTGGCCACATTGCATTGAATATTACAAGAACTAATACCGGCACGGATCCGGTGACCTCCGGTTTGAGGTAATGTTAGCTGTTTCACTGCGTATTAGGTTGCTGGTTAGGTTATGGGTCGAAAGGGTAAGCGACTGGGTCCATGGTGACGGATCTTTATATTTCCTACAGCTATTGCCGCCAAACAACTGTCCTGTGTCTTCACAACGTTCTAGGAGAAATACCGATGGCAAAATTCCACTAGCTGCGCTCGATTTTTGAAACTGCTGACTACGCATTCGTTTAATAAAAATCGGCAGGACGCTATCCAAGCAGTACGGCAAGTTGGGAAGACTTTGTTTGATTGGAGGGTGATTTGATGTGCGGACTGAATACAGTCGGCGACTTGAACGCATTGTGGGCATGCTTATACTTGCTAACACATTTTGTCTTTATGCTATAACAAGTCAAACCTGCCCGCTGACGCAGAGGCTCTCCTCCTCCCTTTACGGCGTCGGCTTCGTCTAGGCTGGCGCTGGTCCTCAGTGCCCTTCAATAATGAAAAGCGGAACATGTTCCCTTCGACTGCCAAAGCTCTGTGTTTCTTATCAAAGAACCCTCTCGGCGCGCAAATGAAGGTACGTTCACTCTCAAAAGGCCATCTGACCTGCGTTCATACTGCTTGTTACGATTAGATGTTTGCGTAGCGGCCCATATAGGTTACGCTTATACAGAAGGCTAGGCATCTGG